CTCATTGGGAGCTGGGTCATGAGGGACCCAAGGGATGAAAACAAAACAAAATCCCCGTTCTGAATGATTGCAATAGAACTCACAAAAGTGAGGACGGAGATTTTCTGATCTTTTGGCATGGTTTTTGGAAGACGTTGTAGGCATGTATGTAACCATGGCATGCCCCCCTCTTTGTACTTTTGCATGTGTTTGGCATATGTCAGATTGCTTCTTTCCACATTGGCACAGATGTCCCCCATTAGTGCCGCTGCCTGAGCTTCAGTGGATGGCATCTCAGTTTGACTATATAGCTCGATATAGTTTCTTTAGTTCCATTTTGCCTTCGGATGGCGATTCTCATCCCAAAAGACAATTGATGGAAAGTACTTCAATTTGGAAAGGGCCAGCTGCAGGCACTGCTGGACGTCCTGACCCGCCGCCTCAACAAGTTGTACCGCCCTTTTGAAGGTGTGTGGGTACTTGAAAGCATCCCGATTCACCAGGTCCTTGCTGAAATCGCTAACGGTCCTGCACCCGACTAACTTTCCAAACAAAGGGGGGGTCTGCTCTTTAAGTGAATGGGTTGGGATACGATCATTACGTTCGTGCAAGTCACTTAAAAGGACTTGCACAAGGGATTCACCAATGATGAGTGGTGGTGCCTTCAGTGAATCGGTTAGCGGGAATATCCTCATCACTCTCATCTGTTGAACTGGGTCATTGAACCAGGTGCTCAGCGGTGGTGGACATTCTACGCCCTTCTTCAAGAATTTCCAATGGTACTTGTCTTTAAAGACAATCAACAGAAATTGGGACTGCGGCATGTTATCCACCCTGTTGCAGAATACCTCACTCAAAGCCTTTTCAATCTACTAACAGAATGCAAAGGACAGGGAGGGTACATGAACAGTTGGACTGCCTTCCAACTTGAGTTGGCTCTCGAAGAGCTTTTCTTTGGAAAGCCAAACAACAGAGCTTCAGTGCCGTTCTTTGTGAGCTTGGGCACGAATGGCACTAACCCAAACAGCCTAACTAAAAGGAGAGGCTTTCTTGGCTTGTCTCCAGCAGGAAGTGCAAGCGTGGGAGATGTTTCCACAAATGCTGGATATTTCGCATCCCGGTTTTGATAGACTGCAGGCCTGCGTTGTATAGACTCTTCCCTCACTCGCTCTGTGATGGGCCCCCATTAGGCTGGATCAGCAGGAACAATGTACCGCTGCTCGGTTTCATCATCCTCCTCCGCCTGGGTGGAGCTCAAGTCTTGCCATTGGTCGACTGTCTCCTCTGGTTGCTGAGGTTCATTAGGTGCACTGCTGCTTCTTTGATCAGTGGCGTCTTCACTGGCGTTGCTTGGTTGTTCAGCCTGTGGAATGTTGGTCCACTCCTCATCAATGGCTATGCAAAGTTGCTGGATATTGGCAGGCCCTGGAACACGCTCTTCAGAATTTCTGCAAATTTCTGTTATGTCTTCTCTTAATGTACAGTAGCAGTTAGCAATTGAATATACAGTATAACTAACATAGGGAAACCAATACTTAAGTAAAATACCACGTAAGGGCTTCCCTCACTCTCTCTGGCCCTGCACAGTTGATGCTCTCAACTACTTCCTCTGGCTGTGGTGAATCAATCTCTTGCATGCACTGTGGACCTTGATCTTCTTACACCTCACCCTGAATTTCACAAATATTGCGAAGCACACAGCATGCAGTAATAACTGTGGGAACATTTCTCTGTATTACATGTGTTTTACAGGCACATGACCATACACAACACAAAAACGTGGTAATATGGTTCATAACCAAGATTAAGGTGATTAAAGAGTACTGGATTCTCAATACAATACATAAAATAACTTAAAACATTACAGGGACCAACATGGTTTAGAAGGACTTTAATTACAACTTTTTTTTACAGTTTTAACCAATTATACTGGAAATGCAATAAATGCTACAACATGCAGAGAAACTGGTCTATAAGGGGTGGTTCACCCCCCAAAATCCGTATGTTTCAAATCCGTATAATTTTCCATCTTCATCTCAAAAGGAGATGTTTGGGTTCCACTGTAGATATAAAGTCATTCGGGTTTGAAACAACATGAGGGTCTGGAAATTACATAATTGTAATTTTTTTCGGACAAACAATTCCTTAAGGCAGCAGTTTAACTAATCTAGAAGTTTAACTGTTCTTTAATGTTTTTTGCTACAGAATGAAAATAACAAAAACAACAACCAAGTAATAATCCTAATAGAAAAGGCATCAAATGAGACATTTGATGTAACATCACTTATTTTGGGCTTTCCTTTTCAAGCTAATTCCTCGATTTCTTACAAAATCTCTGATGTTTTGTACACTGCGCCTTGCCAAAACAGGATCCTCAGCGGTCTTACACTGCTGGCATTCAGTCTGTGTGGCCAGTTTTCCTTTAGTTATATGTGCCTTAAAATGTTTCATTACAGCTGCAACTTCAGCATTTGACCAGCACACTTTTTGCTTTTTTTTTGTAGTTTTCTCAATGAGTTTCTTCTGAACACCTGAAAGAAATCAGTTATACACTGATTAGGAAACACAGATGCAACTCAATCTTCATAAAATGACAAATACAGTATATAGAAATTGATAATGTCAACTGGTTATACACCTGATAACTAAAAATTATATTTCAAACAACATATTCAAATTATTATTCTAGAGATGAAATGTTGTAGTCTGTTAAACACCTCCTTTTTAAACTTATGTTCATCAGTCATTTATCAGTTTTTGGCGAACATGAAAATGATCAACTTATCGGTATCGGACCATATTACAATGTTGGTGCATATGAATATGTTCTTTTTCTTAGCAGAATGATTGTTCATATTGCACAACTGATTTCAACATTGATAACAATCAGAAATGTTTCCTGAGCAGCAAATCAGCACATTCAGCGAGAGTGCCCTCTACAAGGCAGGCCTAATGCAATGCTATGAACAGGGTTCGTACAAGGTGCTTAAAGTACTTGAATTTGACTTTTTGAAATTGAAGTCCTGGAAAATCCTTGAAAACAGCCATATTAACAAAGAGGTACTTGAAAAGTGCTTGACTTATTTAAATGCAATAAGTATGAAATAAGTTTTTTTTCGAAAAACACAAATACAATCTTTTAATGCAAAATTAACACTTAAGGCCGTCTGATAAACCCCTATCAGACCTTTTCTCGATAAGTACGAATCAATCCAAACCTAGCTTTAGCTGGACAATAACTTAATTCTAGAGCTGCTGTAAAGCCAAAACTATCTCTGTTACTTTAATTTCCAATTATCAATGTAAAGCTGCTTTGAAACAATCTATTGTTAAAAGCGCTATATAAATGAAGGTGACTTGACGGAGTCCGGCAGAAGGGAAAGGCTGTCTCCAAGCAGAGGTTGGCTCACTGGATTGTGGATGTCATAGTCTTATAGTCTTTGGGTGCTTCTAAATATCCATCCTCGTCTCCTCGCTCCTCCATCCTATGACCCGGAAACCGATCGAGCTCAGCCATCTTGAAGGACATCTTAATTCTCTAATTGCACCGGAAGGATCGAAGATCGAGGAGTGAGGAGGCTTCCTGAGGAGTCATGAGTTTTCATGAGTTCACATCTACATATAATAATTATGGTTAAGGTTATGCGGATTTGGCGTGCTGTCCGGGTGGAGGAGATGGAACTAAGTGAGAAGATGGGGTGGAGGTGGGATGCTGATAAACTGTCAAGGAACAACTGTGGGTTCTGTTGTGATTTATCCTATCCTGATTTGATTTCAGATTGAACTCCACTTGCGCTAATTGGGTTAATTATCTGCACCTGCTCCTCCCGAACCTTGTTAAAGGGATAGTTCACCCAAAAATGAAAATTAAGTCATTAATTACTCACCCCCATGCTGGACCAACCCCGTAAGACCTTCGTTCATCTTCGGAATACAAATGAAGATATTTTTGATTAAATTTGAGAGCTGGATCACTCCTCCATAGGCTTCATAAGGGAATACTTTTTGTGCGGAACACAAAACAAAAATAACGACTTTATTCGACTATTCCTTTTCTTCCTTGCATGCGCGAGAACTGAACAAGAAGTAGTAGAAGAAGAACGTCCTCTTCTCAGTTCTCGCGCAGGCGTCGTGGAAATCTCTTGAACTCTCGTCTCAGGTCCACAAAGAAGGAAAGGAATAGTCGAATAAAGTCGTTATTTTTGTTTGTTTTTCCGCACAAAAAGTATTCTCGTCGCTTGATAAACTTATAGTTGAGCCACTGTAGTCACTTGGACTATTTAAACATTTTCTTCAATGACTTTCTGGGCCGTCAAGTTTCTATCCCTTAAAGAAGCCTATGGAGGAGTGATCCAGCTCTCAAATTTAATCAAACATATCTTCATTTGTGTTCCGAAGATGAACGAAGGTCTTACGGGGTTGGAACAACATGAGGGTGAGTAATTAATGACTTAATTTTCATTTTTGGGTGAACTAACCCTTTAATAAAACATAATTTATTGACTAAACGTGACGCACACATAAATTCTCCTCCCCCTTCACATCAGTCACAATAATTTTAATTTATACTTTACCTTTTCAGTTTATATAAACCACACATCTCACAAATTTCAACAGGGTATCTTGCTTTATTATTATTTATTATGAGTTTCTTAACCAAACTAATATAACATAAGGGTAGATAGCGCAGCTGATGACGCTGTGAAGTGACGCTCGAGTGATCAAGTATTCCACTGTATAAAAAAGCTTTCATGCGATTCCTCCATCCTCATTTCCTTTCCTTGCAGCCTTCCCTCGCTACCTACAGGGGGTGGAGCTGAGACCCGAGGAAAGGAAGCAAGGATGCACTAATAAGAATTGAGAAGCACCCTTAGTCTTAGGATAGGAGAGCTCACTCCACTCTTGAGTGCCTCTTCCTGGGCGTTAAACCATTGGTTAATATGATTTGAGCTTGGTTATGCATGTTTTGGAGTTATTTTGAATTTAAGTTGAAAGAATATTTATTGATAAAATCTAGTAGTTTAAAGGTACTGTATATACAATTAAAAATAATAAAAAATCTCCCAAAAAATTGCATTAAAAATAGGAAAATAAAATTATAAAAAGGAAAGGAGACAAGTATTAGACAGCATGATTACCTTGAGAATCAACCACAGTGGAAGCTGCGATCCGTGATTCTTTTCCTGGCGTATCATCTCTATCGGAATCATTCTCCATACAATTCAGGAAAGGTGCATTACGCCTGTGAAGTGAAACATTCACATTACTTCTCAATAGGACAACACTGATTAAATTATGGTATTTCTCAACCTTTCCTTCCTTTTGCTTGTTTCATCATTGCCCTCATCTTCATAAGTTACCTCAGATGTATGGAGATCTGAGGTTTTTTTTTTGCGTTTATTTTGTGCAAATTCTCTGATTTCTCTAGGGATTCTGATATGCATATTATAAGGTCCTTACCTGGGTTAAACCATCTCTACACTCCCCAACCTCACAATGTTCAGTCACTTCAAGGACACCACAACAAGTTATGGTTAATTTATGGTACTATACAGTTTTTTTTCTCAATATTCTATGTTTGTTCACATTAAAAACACTTTTAAAAGCTTGACACTACACCCACCATCTGTGCTCACTCTGCTGAACAAATACTTTATCTACAATGGAGGAAGGGCATTGCAATTGGCCTTTATCACACTTCCACGCTCAAAAAGCAGAAGCTTCAAATAGTAGCGTAAAATAACTTCAGTATCAGTGACTCCGATTTCCAGTGATTTCCAGCCTAGAGTCGATTACTCAAAAATAACTGGTTTGATCATCTTAAACAGGTCATATCCTCTGGGGTTGAGTGCAATGATTGGTTAGCATTATATTGTAAACAAAAAATGGAGATTAATCATAATAAACATGTTCACAACAATAAAAATAATAACAGTTTTATAGGCACAAATAATAATAGTTTTATAGGCACAAATGCTCGCCTTGCGAACTCTCCCGTTCATCAAAATGAACGAAACTTTTTTCGAGTCATTGTCTCGTTCATCAAAATGAACGAATCTTTTTTCGAGTCATTGACTCGTTCATCAAAATGAACAAATCTTTTTTTGAGTCATTGATGAACGAGTTTGAACAGGAGAGTTCGCAAGGCGAGCATTTGTGCCTATAAAACTTTAACTTTTTTATTTATTTTTAAAATGACAGATCGTTTCGCTAGATAAGACCCTTATTCATCGTCTGGTATCGTTTAAAGCCCTTTGAAGCTGCACTGAAACGGTCATTTAGACCTTGAACCGTTTGGCTCCCATTGAAGTCCATTATATGGAGAAAAATCCTGGAATGTTTTCATCAAAAACATTAATTTCTTTTCGACAGAAGAAAGAAAGACATGGACATCTTGGATGACATGGGGGTGACTAAATTATCAGCAAAAGTTTTTTAAAAAGTGAACTACTCCTTTAATCTGAGCCATATACAATCTGCTGCAATGTCTAACAATTGACAGAAGTGTCTTGTTGGCAAATACAATAATTGAAGCAGAGGACTAAGCAGCAGAAACATGGCAACAGAAAAGAGATAAAGGTTGTCACACATATCTCTTTCATCCTTTCAAAACAATGGGACCAGTATATAGCATTCAACCCGTCCACTTCGGTCAAAGAATGAGGCATGAAAGAATGAAGAGAAACAAGTCTATCAGAAATCCCTATTATACCTTGTGATGACAACCTTGTCGTCACTCAAAGACAAATATGCTACTCATTCCCATAATTTCAAAATCCCTATCAGTTCATAGTGGGGCATCAGTTTAAGGATATGTCATCAGCCAATAATAAAAGTATCCACCTGTTTCCGCCGGGGGGCACTACTGTAAAAAAAATAAAGTGGGTGCAACTTCCGGTCAGGCAGCGGAAGTAGCATACCAATGGTATTTTGTGTGCTATTTAGCGAAGAGGCAAGGTGTTTCTCGGATAATGTTTTACTATTTAAACTAAGTCGCAAACCTTTATGAGAGATGTCGTTACCGAGCTCAGGGACAACATGTGCTGTTCGCTGTTGTATAGGCCTATAACCGGACTAAACTAATTCAGTGGCAAATTTTATTATCCAACAATCTTAGACTAAAGATTTTAAGTGAAGGCTACTGTGAAGCAATATATTCAGAACATGAATGACTCACAGTAAACATTTCATAATATATATATAATATAATATAGGCTATTTATATTTCTCAGGTCTGTGAGGCAAGTAGACTATGCTGAGTTTCGGTTCATTTATGAGACGAGCTGCAGTTCAGGCGCCGGCGCCTCCGTGTCTTGATTATTGTCTGCTATATTTACTTATTATTTTTTAAATCCAGGTAATTTGTTGATGAAACATTGATTAAAATTAAGATACAAATACAAAACGAAATTAACTTTAAATAAAGGCTTACTTTCTGTTTGAGGTCTCTGTGAACCTTTTAAAGCAGTCTTTTAGTGCCGCTTTCAGAGAACTGTCACGTCCGTAACATTGTTTTTTCCTCATAAATGCAAACATGAAAAATAAAATAAAATGACTATTTTATGTTCTGTGGAGAGCCAACCCTTCTTCATCCGGTGGGTAGTATTACTTTAGGTTTGCCGGCTCGCAGCTGCAGGTTCAAGAGCACCGCAGCGCATATCTTCAAGTTTAGCCATAACCAAACGTCCAGTTTAACTGCCACAAGTTGATCTTCTTGTAATAAAGAACTCGTCGCGGAAAAACATTTTCGTTGAATTTTTAATTGATAAAAAGTGAAATAAATTAAATAATACATTTTAATATAAATATTAATTATTAATCGATAGTCGAATGAATGAATGAGTATCACGTCTCGCAAAAGTGGAAGACGCGCCCACTTTTGACGCAAGGCCTCATGGGACGTAGGAAACTTGTGGATCTATAATCATGTAATAAAATGAGTGATTAATGAGTCAAATCAAACTTTGTGATGTAGGTAGTTTGGTCTCGTCCACGTGAAAGATTTCAGATTCTGAGCCGGAAAAATATGCTTTAAAAACAAGTAGGTGTTGTTGTTAGAGGTTTTTTGAGTGATGAATTGCCACTATCCGAGATCATATATCGCTTGTGCTTTTCTCCTTGCATGTGCAAGTCCACGGCCTTAACACCCATAGAGCCACATTTAAAGCATTTCTTACTAATGCTGCAACAGCTTTCAAATCATTTCGTGTTACTGGTTTTAACCAGTCCAAGAATTTAATATTTTCAGGCCACTTGCTGGTAAATTTACATTTCCCCTATTACTTCTTGTCCAACTAATCACAACCAAATAACTCTAGCAGCTCAGTTATGCAAATCAGTAACCATCACAATCTCCAGCCAATCAAAATCATGTTTGCCTATTCCAAACGTCTTTGTTTACGCTCCAATTTTTAAAGAAATCTTTGCAAACAGTTGACTTTCCTCTCCTCGTTAATTTTCAAAACACAAATTGATGAAATCTGAGAGCTTTTTGTCCCTCCATTGACAGCTACGCAACTTTGACACTTCAAAAAGTTATAAATAGATTGTAAAACGAATCCATATGAATTGAGTAGTTTAGTCGAAATTTTCGAGCAATATTAGACGATAATTTTATGAACAGACACGAATAACAGATGAACAGATTTAATCCAGGCATTTATTCACATATGTATAAACATAAACAGAACCTCAACCGAACCTGCTTGATGTGCGAGAACAAACCTCATTGGTTTTTGCGAAAGGTCAAACGTGCTACGTGACACGAGAATGAACCTCATTGAGTCAAGCAAATATCCGCTTCCATTTTTGTCCATTGATGAATGTTTATATGTGAATAAAAGCCTAAATTCAATCTGTTCATCATATTAAGTGATCGCGTCTCTTTAGAAAATTTGGACTAAACCGCTCAATTTATATGGATTCGTTTTACAATCTCTTTATGAACTTAGCCTCTAAATGGGAGTAGCGTCAAAATGGGAGTTGCGTAGCTGTCAATGGAGGGACAGAAAGCTCTCAGATTTCATTAAAAGGATCTTTGTTTGTGTTCCTAAAATGAAAAGTCTTACCACTTGTAAAATTTTCATTTTTTGGTGAACTAACCCTTTAATGCGTTTAAAAGCTATGCATGCACAGGTGATTTTTTAAATTGCTCCTTATCCTAAACCTCTTAGAACACTGCGATTTCACTGCGAATGAGTTTGCAAATGACTTTTCAGATCTATGCGATGTGTGAATCTCTTCTCACACTAAAGATATGTGGATCCCTCCAGTGTGAGTTTTCATGTGGCTATAACGGGTTCTCTGTTGTGCAAATCTCTTTCCACACAGTTTGCAGGGGTAAGGCTTCTCTCCAGTGTGAACTCTCATGTGAGTCTTAAGATTTCCTTTTCGATTAAAGGTTTTTCCACACAGTTTGCAGGTGTAAGGGCTCTCTCCAGTGTGAACTCTCATGTGAATCTTAAGAATTTGTTTTCTAGTGAAACTCTTTCCACACTGTTGGCAGCTGTAAGGCTTTTCTCCAGTGTGAATTCTCATGTGAATCTTAAGACTTTCTTTTCCAGTGAAACTCTTTCCACACTGTTGGCAGCTGTAAGGCTTTTCTCCAGTGTGAATTCTCATGTGGACTTTAAGGTTTGTGTTGTTTGTGCAACTCTTTCCACAGTAATGGCACATGTAAGACTTCTCATCGGAGTGAGTTATTAAATGCCTCTTAAGCTGTTTCTTGTCTGTGAAACTCCTTCCACACTGATGACATTTACAAAAGCTCTCTTTAATGTGAACCCTCAAGTGGTTATTAAGGCTCTCTTTACGTGTGAAACATTGTCCACACTTATCACATGTGAAAGGTTTCTCTCCAGTGTGAACTCTCATGTGAGTCTTAAGATGGTCTTTTCGATTAAAGTTGTTTCCACACAGTTCGCAGGTGTACGGGCTCTCTCCAGAATGAACTTTCATGTGGGTATAAATGGATCCTTGATGTGTGAAACTCTTTCCACACTGTTGACATGTGTATGGCTTCTCTCCAGTGTGAATTCTCATGTGACATTTAAGATTTCCTTTTTGAGTGAAACACTTTCCACACTCTTGGCAGGTGAAATAACTTCTATTTGCTGTCTTTTGAGCTCTTTTTGGTGAAGTCTGTTCAGTCTGTGAGCAACTTAATGACTTTTCTCCAATTGTGATATCACGTTTCTCAAACTGATCTTTCTCTACTGTATCATTCGGATCTCGAATCTCCTCTTTTAGCATCATCAGATCTAAGGCAAAAAAAAAGAACAACTACATGTTAACCCCAGTTTAATGGCACAAAGCAACAGACAACAAAACATTTAGACATTTAAAGCATCAAACCCATCAATATAGCTGTAAAAACTGATAACAGGCTCAAGCACTATGGCACCATCGTTACACGGTGGGCAGATGCATGTAGGTAGGTAGATTAACAAGGCCAACTGCTGGTGATATGACCCTGAACTACAATAGCCATATCCATGTGTTTTTGAAAGTTTTCCGGCTTGATGAGAACAATACACGCCGTACCAAGGTTGGTGACTTTAGGTCAGAGACTGCCCAGCAGAGTCTAGATCAGGTGTGTCCAATCATGCTCCTGGAGGGCCACTGCCTAACAAAGTTCAGTTCCAACTCTAACTAAACACACCTGAACCAGTTAATCAAGGTCTTATTAGGCATACTAGAAACCTCCAGGGAGGTGTGTAGAGGCAAGATGAAGCTAAACTCTGCAGAGTTTGGACACCCCTGGTCTAGATCAATCCCTACTCAAACACACCTGAGCAATCTAACCCAGGGGTAGGCAAGGTCAGTCCTAGAGAGCCGCGATCCTGAAGAGTTTAGCTCCAACCCTAATCAAACACACCTGAACAAGCTCATCAGCAGAGGTGGGTAGAGTATCCAAAAACTGTACTCAAGTAAAAGTACAAGTACTTAAAGAAATATTTACTCAAAGTAAAAGTAAAAGTAATAATCTTAAAAGTTACTTGAGTAAGAGTAAAAAAGTATCCAATGAAAAAACTACTCAAGTAGTTAGTTACTAGTTACTTTGGATCACATAGGCCTATATATATATATATATATATATATATATATATATATATAAAACATGATATTATTTAGATATTTTTTCATTTAAATGACTATTATTATCATAATTAGATAAGCTATCTTTGCAACAAAAACAGAAGAGACAAACATTATTTCTGTATATCTGTATATTATATCTATAGCCCGAAAACCATTGCCTGTCTTTTGGTTTGTATAATAGTATAATAACTTATACAACTACATTTGGATTATTAGACAATGTCGGAATAAAGTGACTCTATGGAGTTTTGCATTCATATGTAAAGGGGTGGGAACCATTGACACAGATTAGAAAGTGTTAAAACTCTTCACATGCTCGCAGTCATGTCATGCCCAACACAAACAACGATCAAATGCACGGATCTTCTTCTGTCTGTTCTCCAAAATGTATTTAAATGTAGGCTATATTTATGAAAGCATCTTTAAACTGAGTCTAAGGCAGGCAAAGGCATTCGTTTTCAAGTCGAGTTCGCACGCCACTGCGCAATACACACACATTGTGTGTGTGTACACATTCATAAACTGGACGATGATAGCTTATTTAATGTATAAAGTAATGTATATGTCCAAAAAAGGGTAATGCCATACTTTGTAGTAGTGCTATATGGCGTAATAATCTGTTTGGTTGTAAAATGTATTACCTGAATGAAATGAAATCGAATGTATCGTCGTGTGGAATAATTCATTCACAGACAACTTACGAAGTAACATACGAAGATTTTCAACTAATAAAGATCTTCATCGCTGGCAAAAAATTTGATGCATTTGCAGATTTACTTTCTAGACTGTACTTTAGACTGTGGACCGCCACTTCATACACCGCTCTTGATGTTCTTAAATCTTCCTGTTACAACTCCGAGACGATTCAGTGCGTGAGGAAACTGAACAGATCATTCAAACTGATTCGCGAACCGATTTAGACAGATCTGCCCAACTTGTTTGATGAAGTCTTTGAACAGAATCGACTCAAAAGAGTGATTCATTTGTGAATTGAGCATCGCTCATGCCCAGAAAAAAGAGCTAGCGCGCGCTTAGAATAAACTACGCTTTTAACAACATATTGCATTAAAATAAAGTAACGAGAGGAACGTCGCCCAACGTAACGAAGTAAAAGTACAGTTTTTTCATTAGAAATGTACTCGAGTTAAAGTAAAAGTACCCACAAATAAATCTACTCTTAAAAGTACAAATTTTCCAAAAAAATACTCAAGTAAATGTAACGAAGTAAATGTACTTCGTTACTACCCACCTCTGCTCATCAGTGTCTTCAGGATTACCGAGGATATAGGCAGGTCAGGTTATTTTTTTTCAGGGTTGGAGCTCCAGGGCCGAGTTTGGACACCCCTGGGCAGAGTTTCCAGATAACGATTTATCTTAGCTCTTAAGAGCGCTGTCTCCGTGCAAGGTTACGAACGCTCACCATGATACCACGCGCATTTCCCAATAAATGCACATAGTATAATGCACTACTTAAAGTGCGTATGTCAGGTTAAATTTGTAATTATGATTAACACAAAATAGTTAGGGGAAATACACGTTTGACAAGTTGTTGTATTGTTTTGTATGATTTTCGATACCTAAAGGCAGAATATAAGATGAAAAAGTTCGTTATTTTCAGTTCTCACTTAAAACTGCTCCTCCCCTCAAACGGATCGCTTGACATCATAAGAGGGAGACGTCTCCCAGGGCGCTGAGAAAGTGAGTTTGTGAGCTGTGTTGATAATTGTATGAGTGATAGAGTGATAGAATTAGTGATTAGGACATTCATTTTAGTTAGCTATTTAAGTTAGGTAGTTAGTTAGGTATACACAGGCGTATTTTCACGATGGTGAATTACTGTGTTTGTGCTGGGTGCAAAAACACCGTTAAAACAGGTCACAGAGTCCACTTTTTCCCAAAAAGCAGTTCTACCAGAAAGACTCGGGAGAATAAATACTGTAACAATAAATACATTTATTGATAGCCCAGCAAGCAATAAAGTTCTTTGGCGTAGGCCCCGTCCATAGCTCGCAATCCGAGGGTCCGGACTCTGCATTTCCTGCCTGAAGACGAAGGCAGGGGCGCAGCCGACCCCCTGTGAGGTATAGGAAGGGACCATCCTGGTGGTGGTGGGGAGGACTGAGGGGAAGGGACCATCCTGGTGGTGGTGGGGAGGATGGAGGTGAATGAAAGCGTCAGCATCTGCGAACTCAAACATGTGTAAGTACTGGTCTTTTATACCGCAAGTATTAGACACAATTGGATAGATGAGAAGGTAATAAGTGACGTAGCAATTGAGTCTTCCTGGCAGAACTTAACGCTAAAGCTTCCATGTCTGTGTTGCGTGCCTGGGTCAACTTTGTTCGGACCAAACGCGTTGACTTCAGTGCTGCTTCGGTATCCAAGACTTCGATCATTTGCAGTAGAGGGCTGCATTGGGATTGAGTCCCGCCGGGTCCCACGGGACCCAACGCAAATCTCGCGGGAGCGGGCGATTTTAACTTTGCTGCGGGCGGGAATGGGCGGTTAAAAAAAACAACTGCGGGATCGGGAGATAGCCTAGCGACATGATGGAGATGTCAATGATGTGGAAGAGAACCTCAAACGAGGTATTACAGCACAAAACCTAAGCAAGGCAAGTCTGACATTTGGACTACTATTCATCTTCCTGATCAGTGCGTCAGAATACATGCAGGCCAGGGAAACGAAACAAACAACCCCCTTCTACGATGACAATGATGATAATGGTATCTTTTCAAAAACTTGCACTTTGAATCCAGTTTTTTTCAGGCCCCCAAAATGTCATTGTGGTGTAAATCTGGTGTACGGTCCTGTCCCAAATAGCTTTACAATGACTGCCGTGTGCGCGTTTCCGCTAAGTCCATGAGACTGAATTGTGTCTCATTTGTCATTTTTGGTTTCAGAAGGGTGTTCGCGAGTGCCTCCTTTGCAGTCGATATGCTCCCTCGATCCTCACTTTTGCCAAACCTGCACTGAAGCGAGCTCCACAGCAGACTTCTTCCCAACAGTCAAAGCGGTGTTACATCACGAGAGTGCGACTCGTAGGAAGACCGCAAGTGTTTAACCCTCTAGGCACCACGGTCGAGTTTACTCAAGATGCGGCACTGAATAAAACGGACGATTTTGTCAAATTGGGTGTTAAATTTAGATGGCAGACATGTCATACTTCATCCCCGACTCAAAAAAAGTCATGCTTCTAAACAAAATATTCGAGTTAGAGGGCATTGAATCAGTGCGATCAAAAGCGGAGATAGTGTGTGAGTGAGCCATTTTATCAGAGCCTCTCCACAATTGCAGCGACAATATTGTGGTGGAGACTTTGTCTAATGCCACTGGGTATCATCTCACTCATGATCTGTGCCTTGCCGTGGCGAGTGAGCTTTTGAACTAAACAGGTCTTGTCTACTTGTTTTTGTGTGTCATATGAATAATATACACTCACCTAAAGGATTATTAGGAACACCATACTAATACTGTGTTTGACCCCTTTCACCTTCAGAACTGCCTTAATTCTACGTGGCATTGATTCAACAAGGTGCTGAAAGCATTCTTGAGAAATGTTGGCCCATATTGATAGGATAGCATCTTGCAGTTGACGGAGATGTGTGGGATGCACATCCAGGGCACGAAGCTCCCGTTCCACCACATCCCAAAGATGCTCTATTGGGTTGAGATCTGGTGACTGTGGGGAACATTTTAGTACAGTGAACTCATTGTCATGTTCAAGAAACCAATTTGAAATGATTCGAGCTTTGTGACATGGTGCATTATCCTGCTGGAAGTAGCCATCAGAGGATGGGTACATGGTGGCCATAAAGGGATGGACATGGTCAGAAACAATGCTCAGGTAGGCCGTGGCATTTAAACGATGCCCAATTGGCACTAAGGGGCCTAAAGTGTGCCAAGAAAACATCCCCCACACCATTACACCACCACCACCAGCCTGCACAGTGGTAACAAGGCATGATGGATCCATGTTCTCATTCTGTTTACACCAAATTCTGACTCTACCATCTGAATGTCTCAACAGAAATCGAGACTCATCAGACTAGGCAACATTTTTCCAGTCTTCAACAGTCCAATTTTGGTGAGCTCTTGCAAATTGTAGCCTCTTTTTCCTATTTATAGTGGAGATGAGTGGTACCCGGTGGGGTCTTCTGCTGTTGTAGCCCATCCGCCTCAAGGTTGTGCGTGTTGTGGCTTCACAAATGCTTTGTTGCATACCTCGGTTGTAACGTGTGGTTATTTCAGTCAAAGTTGCTTTTCTATCAGCTTGAATCAGTCGGCCCATTCTCCTCTGACCTCTAGCATCAACAAGGCATTTTTGCCCACAGGACTGCCGCATACTGGATGTTTTTCCCTTTTCACACCATTCTTTGTAAACCCTAGAAATGGTTGTGTGTAAAAATCCCAGTAACTGAGCAGATTGTGAAATACTCAGACCGGCCCGTCTGGCACCAACAACCATGCCGCGCTCAAAATTGCTTAAATCACCTTTCTTTCCCATTCTGACATTCAGTTTGGAGTTCAGGAGATTGTCTTGACCAGGACCACACCCCTAAATGCATTGAAGCAACTGCCATGTGATCGGCTGATTAGATAATTGCATTAATGAGAAATTGAACAGGTGTTCCTAATAATCCTTTAGGTGAGTGTATATGTGCCCCATACATGGAACCAGACTGCCTACTGTATGTACTAAATGGAAAATCTCTACACCAAAAGGCCAACCGCTACATTCATTCGGTTTGTTTCTACCATTTATTAGTAATGATTTACACAGTTTGTTTACTACTTACTATATACTTGAGCATTCAGTATTGTGCAATGTAGCATACAGAAGGTGATGGACATTTTGGGGGGAAAGAAGTGCTGCATTTTATCATTTAAACATGACTTTTCATGAAAATTCTATAATCCAAGATTGTCGCCACCATATGGCGTCATAATATGCAAATTAGATGGGAAAATGTAATCCCTACATAAACGTTGGGTCATCCTTAATATTTCTCCAATTTACAGAAAGTCTCTATCTTTTATAACTTTTAAGATATAGCCTTTTGAAATTAAGATGTCAAAATCGAACGTTTTAGGAAAAAAACTCTGGCGCCTAAAGTGTTAAGGTGCTATTTGGGACAGGGCCTATGGTGTTCATTGCTTTACTCGTGAGCAACAACTGTGCAGATAATCAGTCTCTTCTTAACTTGCTCATCCCAGACTCTCTAGTTGTAGGAGCTAAAATATGATTAATTTATGTATGTTAAATGGGTGTGAATTTTTTAATAATCAAAAAGCATGTCTAATTAATTGAAATCATGTATTATGAATCATTAAACTTATACAACATTTAAAAATAAAAATCTATGAAATAAAGACATAAAACACAAATTTTATCGTTTATCATCAGAAATTAAATACACTTTTGGTCAAATTACGCACTGCACAATGAGCTTTACTGTTAAAATTAAAACATGTAACAAAAATTTATTATTCCTTAAATTAAGTTTGGATGATAATTTATTTCGATTAGTGTTAGTATTATTACATAGGGACATAATCTAAATTCTACTGTACAACAGTAATATATTTCTGTCACGTTAAACCGAACTTTTATTTTGACGGGTTGCCGTGAAGACCTTTTGAGTTTCTGTGTGTTTATGTCATGATGATAGTTTTTCTCAAATAAAGCGGTTAAATGATCACAAAGTGACTTTCAGAGTGAATCTAGAGCCTGGAGAGGAAGTTCATGCATTTGTGTCTTCATATAGGCAAAAAAACAGCGCGACCGTCACACGTGCTTCAGTGTGTGTGTGTGGTAAATAAAAACTGCGCGTCGGCGGCACCATTCATTCACACAGAACATGCAGGTTTCTTATTTAACCCTCTGGGGTCCTTCATTTCAGAGTCACACTCAGGACCTTCGGGTCCAAATGGGCCGGAAGGGTGGGATTAATATTTTTTTTATAATATTTTTGGTGTTTTGAGATAATTTCAAAAATAAAAATGATTTATAATTAATATTAATGCAATAATTATGACCCATTTTTTCCCCATTGAATATAATAGAAATTTTTTAAAAATATTTGTATTTTTTTATATTTTTTTTAAAGCTGTATTTCATTTTAGAGTCAAGCCTAGGCCTCATGAAAGCAATTTTTGAAATGAGATGGATGCCATCTGGTGGACAAACTGAGCATTTTAAAAATTCAAAACCCATATGTAATCTGAATTTATTAGTGTGTATGTGTATAAAAGTGTGTTTGTGTGTGTGTGTGTGGATGTGTCTGTTTTGCACTCTTGATGTTTTATAGATTCACCCCTTCACTGTTGTGTGCTTTTTTTCCGGATCGTGGCTGATTTGTAGTTTGTACGCACAAAATAACTCTGTATTTTCACATTTTTGCCAATTTCCCATTCATTTCCTATGCGGGTCCATTTGGACCCGAAGGTCCTGAGTGTGACTATTTTTTTTTACAACCACTTAGACTATTCAAATCCTGTCCCCAATTTTTTGGGGTGTTCATATGCCAAGTACCAACAAAGTCACCAAATTTCGGACCATTCCGATAAAGCAATGATTTAAAAAAAAAAAAATATTTAAATGCTTCGGGTCCATTTTGGGCCGAACAACCCCAGAGGGTTAAATAGTCTTTGTGTTTTAATATTCACACACACTAGTCTACATCATGATTTGATTTCAAGTGTACTGAACTGCTTTCTATTTATTACTCAAAAAATGAACAAATTCCGAGAAATTCCGCGTTATACACTAAATTCCGTTTTTATGACTGGATTTCGTCAGCATTTTAGGGGCCGCACCGCCCAAAACAATGGTTGGGGAAACACTGGTGTTATTTTTGTTGGTGGGGACTAATATGTATTTACCTGCTGATGGGGGAAGGAGTCTGGGAATAGTTTGGGATGGAGTTATTTACAAGGAAAAAAAGCCAGGAATGCGCGAGTGAAGAGACTGACTTCTGCGCATGAATAACGTAAAAAAAAAAAAAACATTCTGCCACAATATCATGGTTAGTTAGCATTGCTACATTTAATCCAACCTAATTTGTGGATTATAAAGCCTTTTATAACTTGGTCGCTCATGGCACAATGTTTCTCTTGGTTTCCACATCAGTGCTGTTTGATCTGATATCTTCGAATGCTTCCAACTAGATCTTGCCGTAGCAATGTTTTTAATACTGTGGTGAATTCAAACGCTTTCTCACTGGATCTCCCAGAGCTGTGTAGTAACGGTGTCGTGTAGCGTTGTTTTGTTTCACTTTCGTTTGCCATTTGATGTTTCTCACATGCAACATTAAAGGCAGCTCTTATCAGTTGGCAATGTGCTGTTGGCATTAGAAATGGCTAACAAAATTAGTCGCACCGGAAGGAAAAAAGCAAAAGTCAACCATTTGGTCGCAGTCTGGAGCCCTGCTCTCTTCAAAACTATCATTAATTTCTGTAGAGCTTGACATTATAATAAGGATCATATGACTGAATTCGGTTTGAGAATGAAACCAACCTGTTTGTTCATTAGTATCTTCATGTTTCACTGTGAATGTTTCTTCAATCTTCATGTTTTTACTCTCCTCTTTATTAAACAGCACCTTTTTCTGTTCCTCGGTTTTTTCATGTTTCACACTGAATGTTCCTTCAATCCTCATGTGTTCAATCTCCTCTTTAATAAACGCCATCTTTGATTGTCCCGCAGTATCTTCATGTTTCACTGTCAATGTTTCTTCAATCTTCACGTCTTCACTCTCCTCTTTAATAAACGCCATCTTTACAATAGTGTGTCATGTGGATCTCAGTCGCTTCACCAGGAGTTTGTCCTGTTTAAGAAGAGAATAATTAAAAGAAAGAAAAAGTCTTAATAATCTCCCTAGAAAGGGAGTCATTCAGAGTGATAGTTATTGATCTTTATTCCCTCCACTCAAAATTAGCACTACAAATTAAGAGATGAACAAAAAGTATACACTTCATCATTAGTTATGATTTCTTTGGTATTTAATATTTGCAGATTATATTTAAAATATTACACTTTCATGAAAACTAGGGATGCACTTTTTTTTTTTTGGCCGGTACCAGTAACACTTTAGTTATAAACTATATCAAGATAATAATTTGACACTGCATAAATGACACTTGCAACACACATGTGAGGATTGAAGATGCCAATGAAACTACAAACTACATCAAAATAGAATTGCGAGGAGATTTATTAACAAATTGTCAAGAGTGCTTGTTATTGTGCTTGTTAAGGTGTCTGAATAATTTTTGGCTTGGCCTTTCATTTAATTGATTTCATGTAGTTATTGTTTTACCTTCTGTGAAATTTAATTCAATTGAAATACAATTCAAATATGACAAATGAAATAAGAAAAAGAGAAAGAAAGAAAGAAGTTATGCACTGTAAAGCTTTTAATAAACAATCTTTTCCCAGACATATTTATATCACGGCGACATCGAACGTTCAAGAAAGCGTTAAGAAAACTGATCTATTTTACACTTGTAACACAAAATAGTAACAATCAGGAGCTAAAGGACAGAAATGTCCCCGTTGAAAACCCTATTAAACTGCAATTTTTAATCTCAGGGCCATTTAACTATGAAATGATGCAGTCTTTGTTAATCGGCTTTCATTCAGTTGGCAAGGCTTTTTTTTTTATATATATATTTTTTTTACTATTTTTTAACAGATGGTGCCATTTTCTCAGGTTTCAAATACTCACTTTCTTCTTATTCTCTGCTAATGCATATTATCCAGTCTTCAGTGTCACATTATCCTTCAGAAATAATTATAATGTGATGATTTACCAATGATACAAGAAAACAGTTGTGCTGCTTAAATCGTGATACATTTGTCTTTCATGATTATTTGAATAGAATTTTTTTTTTAAAGAATGTTAAATAACTTGCTGACATTTATAATAATAAATTCAAATATATGTTAATGTGTTTAGGCCTATATAACAGACCTTTCACATATAATGATAACACTAATATCAGCATTACGATGGTAATTTACGTTAATTAGCCTATAAACAATTGGCTGACAATTGCCAAAGACCCATTACTCAAAGTTTTAAAGCTGACGTTTCTTCACTGTGCTCAGTTATTTTACTTTTATTGCAGGACTACGGTTCCTGTTATTTACAGACAAATAATAGATTACAAGACCCATATGACTCATAACCTGTTGGTTTATAAAACAATGAGACGACTTGAACGTTTGCTGTTGTCGTGCTGTGACTTGGGTGGAAGATATTTGGTTACAAAAAGCAAACAATGCTGAACTTTATTTATTTTATTCATCTTTTTAAATTGAAATTCAAAAATACAAAACAATTCAGTATGTTCTCAAAACATTTAACAAACAATGTAAATCCACACAAGGCTGCAATAGCTACATTAAATCAATAAAATGAAAATAAAAGGCCAACACAACGTATTCAATTCATTTTGCCGCACCAATGTCAGCAAATGACGTCGTGCGGGTGCACGTGGAGGGCAGTCGAAATATGACAGGAGTAAATAAACACGTAATGGAATAAGGCGGCAGAATAATCATCACATTAGTAAACTATAGCACTTGTGCTACTGATTCACTGATAATAACCTCATGCACGATATAGGGAGCTAAATGAGACGCATCTTTTACTGTTACTCGAGTATAGATGCGTTTTACTCATAAACATAACGTGTAGTACAAGTACGTACAAGAATATAAAAAACGTATTCGTTTTACAGTTCTTGTAAAAACGATAAAATTATCGGAAAGGTTTGCATAGATTGATACTTTAAATGATTTAAAACACAAACCTTTCTTCAGCCGAATCACAACAGTATAGTAGCGCGACGCAGCCTTGTGACGTCACACTAGCATACCAAAATAAAAGTCCCGTTCACACGCTAAATCACAAAAGCGCACAGACACTTACATGCATAAAAAATATAAATAATAAAATTGTGTCAGAGGACACTAACAATGCTAATAGTTATCATCAACAACAACAAATGAATCCCAATGTACTGTTGGAATTGATTTCTGGATATTGTAATGCTATATTATTATTATTGAAAAGTCAAAAAATACAAAAATGGTGTGCACATCCCGAACACCCAAATTGGGCTCAGGTGCAGGACAACTAAATGATATAAACTAATAAAGAAGTGTGAAGTCCGCACACTGAAAATTACTGCTCCAAAATAATGTATTAAAAGGCAACGTTTCGACCCTCAGGTCTTCATCAGGCACAATATCAATGTAGAGTGAAGTCAACTTTAAATAGACACAGGTGATCACCTTAAGTGGGCACACACAAAAAAAGCATATGACAAATACAAGTAACGTGACAAGTCACACACACAAAAAAATAATAATAAAAAATGTTTTTACACATCACTATAAAAATGGCTTAATATCAAAATCCTCATTCAACCCTAAAGGTGACAAAGTGCTTAAAGTATAAATCCAAAAACATTCCCTCTATAATAATTTCTTCTCATAATCTCCTCCTCTTGAGGATTTTGTAACCTTTTCTATACGGATATACTGCAAAGCGCTGACGTTATGGCCTACTTGTCTAAAGTGAGACGCTATAGGACTGCGCATATCTCCATATCTCTAATATTACTGCGATGTTCACTAATACGAGTGCGTCTAATATTTGTCACGTTACTTGTATTTGTCATATGATTTTTTTTATGTGTGCCCAATTAAGGTGATCACCTGTGTCTATTTAAAGTTGACTTCACTCTACATTGATATTGTGCCTGATGAAGACCTGAGGGTCGAAACGTTGCATATTATTATTATTGTACACATTTATTGTACTTACCTGGGTGATATCAGGTAAAATGGGCCATTTAAGGTTTGGGGGTCCCAGCCCCTCTGGAATTTAGAGCCAATGACTGCAAAGGATTTCAAACTGTTGTCATAACTGTGCTTGACAAGTAACAGGTGATTTGATTGGTTTATGGTTGCTATGGTGAGCGGAGGAATAATTCAAATCAAGACTACACCAGAAAGCTGCATGGTAAATAGCCTGGCATACCAAGGCCATGTTCACACTAATATGTTTTCGTTTGAAAACGTATATTTTTCTCTCCGGTTTGGCCTTCCGTCCACACTGAGACAGCGTTTTAAGGCAATGAATACGTAGCTTTTGGAATACGCTCTCCAAAGCGGATAAATTTGAGAACGCCGTTTTCGCGTTGTAGTGTGGACTGTGAAGCCGGAGGGATTTGAAAACGATGACGTAAGTTTAGTCATGTGATCCATGTTGTACCAATATATATTCATGTTTACCGGTATTGTGCCTGTTATGTGCTATTCACTTTTACACTGTTGCTAAAATATGTTACTTTGCACACTCTTCATATCGCAGTCCTGCAAAGATGACAGAAAATGTACCGGTACTCAGTCGCGTTTTAGACCAAACATATGGTGACTGAGTGCGACCTGGACGCATCAGTGATGGGGAGAGATTTAGCTAAACAAACTTATCCTCTTAGACGAATTGCGCGATAACTTTATTATTTATTTTTCCATCTGTATCATCTCAGTGAGCTTTTGTGAGGTTTCACGCATGCGCAGTAAAGGTGAATTTAGAAGTTTCTCATCCACACTGAAACGCCTGAAAACGCTAGTGTGGACGGAGAGCGTTTTTAAACGAAAACGCCGTTTTCAAATGTATCCCGATTAATGTGGACGTAGCCCAAATCTAACTAAACTATTATAAGGATGATAAATCTCTAAAAAAAAAACATGCACAGAAAAAAACTATGCATAATATCTGTCTTGATGGCATCAATCATAAATAATATTGTAAGTTAGGTATATGACCATATTTTTTTAAAAAGTGATGTTTTTCTTGGCGGCCCAATTTACCTTAACCCACTGAGGTAAAATGGGCCATCATCTGTGTCACTCACACTCACCGCCGCAAAGGGAGTGAAGCCACCATCATATAACCTCACAAGTGACCAACACTGAATATATTAAAACAAAAAAGTCATCCAGCAAGCAACCAGCCAAGCAAGCCAGCAAGTACCGGGCAGCAAGCAACCAAAAGGGGAAAAAAAGCAGGGCAAGAGAAGCAAGTCACCTTGCGAAGTCTACAACACCCACTATGGCGACCCAAATGACCCGAAGGCTACTGAGGAATGGGTCAAATGTGATCCGTGTTCTGCCTGGTTTCATGAGAGCTGTGGTGAAGAGAACGGTATCTGTGATGACGAGTGTTTCATTTGCAAACACTGTGTTTGAAAAATGTTTTCATCACACACACACACACACACACACACACACACACACACACACACACACACACACACACACACACATACACACACACATATCAGTTATCAATTTTGAATGTGAATTTTTGTAATTTGCACATTTCGTTCTAAATGTGTTGTACACACACACACACACACACACACACACACACACACACACACACACACACACACACACACCACTGACATCAGTTCACTGATCTATGCTGTTCCAAAATTGACTTTTTTAATTGCACATTTGAATATGTGAGTTTGCACCCAAAATGTTTGTTTTTTAATGGCACATATGTTTGTTTAATGCAGTTTAAATGTTATGTGGCTGTATAAGCAATTTTGTTTTAAAATTAAAATTGATGATAAATTACTATTTCCCTTTGCAGTTTGACTGGCCCATTTTACCTGAAACTGCTCATGCAAAAAAAGTTTGCACAGCTGATGTTTCAAGAACTGTAGGGCCTAAATAATTACATAATTTCAACACAAAATGATCAAGTCATTATTAATCATAAAAGCACATGGAAAAGGCATATATGGTATTGTATTATTGTCCCAAACGATTTACCAAAAAGTGGCCCAATTTAGCAGATATTACCCTATATATGATTTAGTATTGTATTAGACATAAGCCTTTATTAACTTTTGGAATGTATAACATAAAATTATTACCATAAAAACTCTTTCCTAGAATCAATTGCCGTCTGATTATTGTAAGTGAACAATCTAGCAGTAATCCCGATTAATCAAAAATCATTGATGAAGCAATGCAAACATATATCTCACTCATATTCAGTCATGTTTCAACTTGTTCTCCCCTTTCCTTGTGTGTCAACATCAGCTAACTACACCCCAAAGGCTCTTTGAAGAGCCCTAGCACAGATCGTCTTTGGCTTTGTAAGTATATGTTTGACTAACAATCAGACATATTTTTTAGAAGTTCTTCTATTTAATGGCAGGTCACAACTTAACTGTTATTATGGCCACTTTCTGTTAGACTGGCACACAAAGAGGACATGCTTTTGCTCTGGGACATATTTTTCATATTGCATCCACATCGCAGCCTTTTGCGATTAGCTAATCGCAACGTTTCAAATCGTGATTGATTTCGATTAATTGTGCAGCCCTAATTCATTATGCAACATGCATGAAATTTCTCAAGATTTTTTTTAGTGGCTGTTAAAAGTTCTCCGGCACATGTCTATCAATTCAGACCCATGTAATATCTGATACTGAAATATTCATATAGGGTAAGTGTACCCATTAACTGCATTCACTAGGTTTTTGCCGTTGTCAGTCTTGTTTTCTCTGTCAATTTTCCACTTCCGACAGAAGATCACTCGTATGGCTTTCATAGACGGCGCGTGTCTGGAGAATGGGATTTGCAATTACCCAGTTGTCGTAATATAGTGCGCCGTGATCGTGATGAAGGACTGAGTTGCACGCGAGGTCCACCCATCTGTAGTTAAAGCAATGTATTTTGCATTGCTCATTTCCTCCACCAGTTTGGCTTTCACTTTGTTGTTAAGTTGAGGCAAAACATTGACTAAAATGCGGTCGGCTCGATAGTTGATATCTGTAATGAGATCTACAGCAGGGGACATTGTTACGGCACAGAGAGCAAGCCTCTCACCAGAGAATGTGGACATGATGGTGTTTTGAAAGAAGAACTTAAACCTTAGTTTAACATTTTAGATGTATGCTAAAATATGACTGCGCTTTCACTCCTGTTCAGATAACTTCAAATGAACTTGAAATTTAGGACATTGTAGGGTGTTCTTGTAACAGAACGAACCAGAGGAGAGACGTACAGATCCATTCGCAAGGCTTTATTCCAAAAACGTAGTCTTAGTACAGGCAAGGTCAATGAACAGCAGACAGGTATGGCAGAGGCATAGCACAGAGAAACCCTAAGGGCAAGCGTGGGTCGACGAGGTGCAAACAGAATCCGAAGGGCTAGGCTGAGGGAGAATCCAAGTGACACAGGCAGGAATCAAAACACGAAGGACAAGGCAAGACTAGAATTCAATGGAAGGCTCAGTAAGTAGCTAACACTTGGGGAGTGTTAAACGCTGACAATACAGTACAAAGAAACAATATCCGGCAACAGAGAGAGGAAGTCCAAGGGTTATAAAGGGTGTGAGATGGTTCTCAAGTGTGAGCGTGATTAGTGGAATCAGCTGTGTGAATCGTCAGTGCAATGAATGATGGGGATTGTAGTGAAGTGCAAGAGTTGTGAGTGGGAGACTGTCCGGAAGGGAATGGACCAGATACGTGACAGTTCTCTAATATTGATCTCTACTGTATTTTAATAATCACTTTTGTGTATTAAGTTTACCCAATTACACAAAAATATATAATTGTAATTGTATATTAGCTTAATTCTAAAGGCAGTGGGAAGAATTTCCTGTTTCTTAGGTCTCTTACGTGAAACACTTACGGCAGTTATTGCGTTTTGTCTATGACACGATTTACATTAATGTACTCCACTGGAAAACCAAAATGTGCCCAGGAGACGTAATTGTGACTGGAGGGTCTGCAATCTCAATATGACGCGGAGTTGCCATCATGCAGTGTG